AAATGCGCCATTCTCGATGCTTGTCACGCAGCTTGAGGCAAACCCCTACCTCGGCAAGTGTGCCCTTGGGCGCATTACCAGCGGCACTGTCCGTGTTGGTGACAAGATCCGCGTTCTCGAGCCCGAGACAGGCGACGTCAAGGAGGAAGGCAAGGTCACAAAGCTATTCCTTCGCAGTGGCGTGCAGCAAGTAGAGATGGCGCAGGCAGGCGCTGGAGATGTTGTCAGTATCAGTGGCGTGCCTTCTGTTAGCGTCAACTCCACCATTGGCAGCCCTGAGATCACAGAGCCGCTCGAGTTCATCCCGGTTGATCCGCCAACGATCTCGATGACGTTCTCCGTGAATGACTCGCCTTTGGCTGGCCGCGAGGGAGCGCAGCTTACATCCAACATGATCCGCGACCGCCTCCGCCGCGAGGCAGAGACCAACGTTGCCCTGCAGATTGTTGACGATGGAAAGTCGGATTCGATTGAGGTCCATGGCCGCGGCGAGCTCCAGCTCTCTGTTCTGATTGAGACTATGCGCCGCGAGGGATTCGAGCTGTCAGTGACTCCCCCACGCGTGCTTTTCAAGCGCGACCCTGACAACAAGCGCAGAATTCTGGAGCCCTATGAGGAGATCACCATTGACGTTGACCACGAGTCGTCGGGCATTGTTATTGAGAAGCTCACCAAGCGCAAGGCAGAGCTCAAGTCCTTCACCGATGTTGCGGACAAGGCGCGCATTGTGTTCCACATCCCCACTCGCGGCTTGCTTGGGTACGCGTCCGAATTCAAGAACGACACTCACGGCACTGGGGTGATGAACCACGCATTCCTAAAGTACGACGAGTATGCGGGTGCCTTTGAGAAGACTCGCAAGGCCGGCATGGTCTGCCTGTCGTCGGGTACTGCCACATCATACGCTTTAAATCTGCTGGAGCCTCGCGGCCGTCTCTTTGTCCGCAACGGCGACGACGTCTACCCTGGCATGGTCGTCGGTGAGCTTAGCAAGGATGGCGTTGACCTGGACGTCAACCCTACAAAGGCCAAGCAGCTCACCAACATCCGCGCTGCTGGAAAGGATGAGGCCATTCGCCTCACTCCAGTCAGACCCTGGTCGCTCGAAGAGGTCATTGCCTATATCAACCCCGATGAGGCCATTGAGGTTACTCCTACCCAGATCCGCCTTCGCAAGCAGATCACTGATCCTGTTAAGCGCAAGCAGCTCTCTCGGAAGCGTGTTGGTGATATCGAGGACATGCTCGACTAAACCCAGGAATGGCCCGCGTGGCACAGATACACTCAAAGTAGGGGGGTACATTAGCTCTTGTTTTGTAACAATAAATAATGTATACACAGTCAAACACGCCAGTAAATGCGCCTGTGCAGAGCAGCCCACTGCAGCAGGAAATCAGCTGGTGATGATCTGTAGGTTTATTAGTGGGTTTGGTGGATGCTGTTTCGCCATAAAAGAAAAAGCTGTATTCAGCGCCGAGTACTCACAAACCCCAGTGCACCAAAACAGCCTCTCACACCTGGCAAGAGGGAGCAAGCACCTCTCTCTCCTGCTCTCTTTTAGAGACTAGCTGCTGTCCCTAACAGCTCGGTCTTGCACATGCTTTCCTCTGTCGTAAAACATGTCTGACTCTGGAACCCTCCCGTGCGCAAAGCGCGCAAAGACACTACCGAAGGACGCAAAGGACAGTACAAAGCCAAAACGGGACTTGACCAGGCCACCGGCTGCTGGCGATAACCGCTGCCATTACTTTGTGGCGAGAAAGGGCCGATTCTGCCCATTTACGACAAAGAATGATAGCAAATACTGTGGCGAGCATATGGCCGTGCGCGACAGCGAAGCGCAGGCTGCTGCAAGTGGCGCTACCAGCCAGCCCACTGAAAACACCCGCGTTCCTTGTCCCTACGACCTATCGCACTCGGTCGATCTCAGAAAGCTCAAAACGCACATGAGCAGCCGCTGCAACGCACGCCCACCGGCTGTTCGTCCTGATTTTGTTCAGCCTGACTGCAACGTCACTCTGCTTCCGCCTGCATATGAAGCAAACACGTTCGAGCAGAGCGGCATGCAATGGAGTGAGGAATGCCTGGCAAAGTCTGACGCGCGACTGATGGTAGAACCAGGCGAGCAGAGGTATCTGTCGCTCAGCTCTAGGGTATTTGGAGATTTGGATACCCTTGGAGCAGATAAAAATCACAGCGACCACGAGCATAGAAATGGCACCGCAGGGCAACTTGACGAGGCGGCCGTTGCTGACTTGCTCAAACCTGTGATCTCGTCATACTTGAGAAAATCGTCTGAATTCTGCTCAAGAGACGGCTTGGCACCGAGCGAAGACAGGGGTGCCTCTTTAGAACAGCTGCTGGAGATGGTTCATCCATCAGGGGAGTTCCCAACGAATATTTGCACGCACAGCGTGCTTGAAGAGCGCACGCATTCCAAGGTGAACCCCAAGCATGCGCTGCAGCAGGCATCGCTGCTAGGCCACTTGGCCCAGCGAGGACTGCTGGATCCAAAGTATGCGTTTTTGGAGTTTGGTGCGGGTAAGGGCGAACTTTCGATATATGTGCGTGCAGCGCTAGAGCAAAGGGCATCGGGCCCCACCAGCATTTTCCTTATCGACCGCAAAAACTTTCGCATGAAGTTCAACATTGATGAAAATGACGAGGAGGATGACGGCAGGAATACCGACAGCAAGCAAGCCATCGCAAGCAAACCTCAAGACCGGTTCCAGCGGATTTACATTGACATCCGCGACCTTGATCTGTCAAAGATTGAGGAATTGCAGGCAGTTGATTCGGTATCGGGCGAGGCAAAGCTCCGACCAGTTGTCGCTTATTCGAAGCACCTGTGCGGAGCAGCTACGGATCTGACGATAAAATGCTTGGAAAACTACCAAAGAGCTGGCGGACAGGTTGCTGGAGTTGCCATTGCACTGTGCTGCCACCAGGTATGCAAGTACTCGATGTTTGTGGACCACAGCTATCTGCTGCAAGCCATACCAAGTAAGACCTGTGGTGGTGGCTGGGATAATGGACAGCGCGAAGCTTTTTACCACCTCACTTCCATGTCAAGCTGGGCCATAAACTCGCCTCGACCAAAGCAGCAAGAGCAGGATCAGCACAAAACGGTAGATGGAAGCGACGTGGAACTTGGCCACTACTCGCGACTGTCTTACAGCCAACGTGTTCGAGCTGGACATGCTATTAAAAGATTCCTCGATATTGGGCGGGCTCTCTATGTGCGCCGCACATTGCGCATGGTCGATGCAGAGCTTGTTTACTACACATCTCGCGACACCTCACCAGAGAACCTCGCGCTTGTTGCAACCAACCTATATTAGTATTTGTCGACGCTCCTCCGCTTGCATCGTCAAAACAAGCGACACTCCTCTTCGCAGCCTTCTAGCATGTGGCAGACACGGCAAGCAGCGCCCAAAGCTATTCCATGCATGTACTCCGAGATCCTTTTTTCCAATTCCATAAAGCACACCATGTGCATGGCAGTCAATCCCAAGCGCAAATGGGGATGTGAGAAGGAAGGACGATCACTGGGATTCTGGTTTTGTTTACAGGACCACCAGTCCAGGAACGCATCCAGACCCGACATGACAAGAATACGAGCATTGCTCCCTATTTATCTTGTTCTTTTCTCTCGCTGCCCTTTGCTCTACAACACAGCTTCTGCTTTCCATCTCCCCTCTCCTCCACCCCATTTACCGCCTAACGCACTCCCCTTTGCACGCCTATACCACTCCTCTCCTCACCACATCCGCTATAATGAAGCTTGCTACCTCGACCGTCGCTCTCAGCACCATGTTGGCTGCTGCTGCTCTTGTTGGCGCCCAGAGAATTGACGATTCTGGAAGTGGTGGCAACGTTGGTGATGCAATTATCATTACCAACACTCAAGCAGTTGATACGCCTGCCACCACCACTGCTGCTGCTGCCGCTGCTGCTTCCACCTCTGCACCCGCTGTCAATGCACCGGCTAAGTCAGCATCCCCTGCTGCTGCCCCCTCACCTGCTTCTGCTGCTGCCCCCGTTTCCTCTGCTTCTCCCGCACAAAACAATAGCAACAACAACTCGGGTAACACTGGTAACATTGGCACTGCCGTTACAATTGCAAACAACGATAACTCTGGCAGCTCTGGAAGCTCTGGCCACTCTAGCAACTCTGACAGCTCTGGAAGCTCTGGAAGCTCTGGAAGCTCTGGAAGCTCTGGAAGCTCTGGCAGCTCTGGCAGCTCTGGCAGCTCTGGCAGCTCTGGCAACTCTGGCAACTCTGGCAACTCTGGCAACTCTGGCAACTCTGGCAACTCGGTTAGCTCTGTTAGCTCTGATAGCTCTGGGAACTCGGTTAGCTCTGCTGGCTCTGATAGCTCTGGCAGCTCTGGTAGCTCTGGTAGCTCTGGAAGCTCTGGTAACTCTGGCAACTCTGTTAGCTCTGCTAGCTCCGGAAGTTCGGTTTCTACCGCTGCTAACGCTGGCACTGCTCCCACTGGAGCCTCTGCTTCCGCTGCTGCTGGTGGCGTCACCGTCACTAACTCTTTTGGTGGCCCTTCAGGTGCTACTACCACAGCGACCAAGGCTCACAAGGCAACTCCCGCCGCTAACGCCAGCTCCGACAGCGCTTCCGATGATGGCGATCTCTCTGACTTGGCCGATGCCGAGAGCGAGGCATCGTCGTCAGTTGCCAAGTCCAAGACTTCTACTTCGACCAAGACCAGCGGCTCTTCCGCTATTCTCCCGGCAATGACCTTCTCTGCACTTGTTGCCATTGCTGTTTCTGGTGTCTTTTTCTAAGCAATAGGCAGGCATTTTCCAGGAAACTGGGCATCCTTCTTTCCACAGCCTCTTTCTAACGAACCAAATATATGAAGCAACAAGCACATGCCGCTTCCAAAATGAAATAAGCATTACTGTCAAGCAAACAAAAGAATACCACGCGCAGCATGAAAAAAAAAAAGTGCACGCTGGCGTGGCGGGAATGGCAAAAAGAGTGCCCAACTCCGGATTCGAACCGGAGATCTTCTGTTTGCTAGCAGCGGGGGCGACATTCGCCCATACTACAAGACAGACGCCTTACCACTTGGCCAGTCAGGCAGCCCACAAAGCAGAATCCCAAGCCAATCGCTTTGCTCTGGCCGTCGCGGTGTTTTCATGCTCACATGCAGAAATTGCTGTTCAAAGAGACTCCCCGGTAACGCCCGAGACACTAGCTCAAATGGGCAAAGGGTGCGGTAAGCGGGCACATAGACTGCAGATATCCAAGCAGCTTGCTGAAAACATCACTAGAATTTTGGGCACTGAGCGCTCCCAGTATCCCTATTATCCATGCAGTGCAAGCAGCCTACTACCAGTAGCTGCCAACCTTCAAACCAGGAAAGGAGCAACGGGCTGCTCTGCCACATGCATGTCTACCAATGCAACATCGACATGTTATGGAAGGGTTATCGGATGTTTGTGGGTGCAGCTTTAGACCCAGGCTCTTGATGCCTTTGAATAGCTGGCGGAAAAGAAGAAAGCGACTTGCTGAGCTGGATTCTTGATGGACGAAGCGCCTTACCTGAGCAACACCAACATCCAAGGGCCAGACCAAACTGCTTTTTATATCTATTCATCCGTCTAGCCACAGATTAGATAGTGTGCCAGAGTTCTCGTAGATTTACCCAACAGCAACACGATTTTAAATACCAGTGTAGGCCACAATGCTATTTGCCGCCGGAAAGAGCATTGGTGGTGGCTATTTTTATGGCTGATCAGCGCAGAGCACTCGTCTAAAGCCAAACGTCACCAAGGCTCGGCAAGGCTTAGATGGCGAATCAATTGATCATTGAAGAATCTCCGCTACCGCGTGGCACTGGTGTGCAAGAAGTGCTTTGATTCAGCTACGTTTTGTTCGCTTCCTTGCAGTCTCATGTTGAGGTTTCGTGCATCCCTTATGTCGCCACCCCTCTCTAGCCAGGGAGACTAACTCCACCACATGCAGGCAAAAACAGAGCATGATGTCAACGCCATTATGACACGTTTGGTTGCAGCATGCTGATGTCTGATTACGCCATACTGCTGGTATCGGAGAAATGGTGGGAAAAATCAGCATATGATGCGCACCAAGTGCAAGATGGTGGCTCATCTACACGAGATGACTCTTCTTTGTACGCCGCAGTAGACGGGAAAACAGCTATCAGGGTGAGTCGGGCTTGAGCAATATTTTTTTTCTTCTTTTTTTCATTTTCTCTTGGAAGGGCATTCTCTGCTTTGCCCTTCCCCACTTTTCTGACTCGTCGTCCCTTATATTTTACACCACCTTTCCTTCGCACTCTTTTTCGCACTGGGCTTGATGGTATTTTTAAAGTCGGTATTTAGACCAGCAACACCTTTAGCCAGACCAGTGCAGCGCCTCTTTCGCCAAAACTTCATAGCAGCTAACAATCATTCGTCATTTGCAAAAGGAAAGGCTGCTCCAATGACTTTTGCCAGCAACAACAGCTCCCCGTGGACTCAGCCAGAGTCCACACACCCACAGGCCGGTCTGGTTGTGTACAACTCGATGACCAAGTCTAAGGTAAGCACCGGCTCCATTATTTCAGTAGTTCACACAAATCCGAGCATGAAACAAAGAGGGGAATGCCCTAATCTAGCGTTCTACGCAAATTCTATTAATTCAATAGGTGCCGTTTGTGCCGCGAGAGGGTAACTATGTTGGCTGGTACGGATGCGGCCCCACTGTTTATGACTCTGCTCATTTGGGCCACGCGCGGAACTACACCACCTTTGACATCATCCGCCGAATTATGGAGGATTACTTCAATTACGACGTCAACTTGGTTATGAACATTACCGATATTGACGACAAGATCATTGAGCGTGCGCGCCACATGTACCTGTTTAAGCAGTACAAGGGCAAGGCCGATTCGCTGTCCGAGAGGACCGTTGAGGATGTCAATGCGGCATTCCGCGCGTTTGCTGCTTCTAAGCTCAAGGTCGAGATTGGCAGCGATGAGGACTGGAAGTCGTTTGTTGCAGCGGCCGGCGATGGCAAGGATCCCCAGATCACTGGCGATAACCCAAAGTTCACCATGCACTATGATGCAGCCTGCGCTACTTTTAGCGCGATTCTCGCTGCCCGCCAGAACCTGGCCGAAGGCAAGGCATCCAAAGCGGAGGCTGATTCGTTGGTCGATGCATCGCAGGACGTCTTGGCGCTCTGGCTTGATGGCAAGTACGGTGCCGATGTTACCGACCCACGCGTCTTCCGCGATCTGGCCGCTTACTGGGAGAAGGACTTCTTTGAGGACATGGATGCTCTCAAGGTGCGCCGTCCCAACATCCTGACTCGCGTATCTGAGTTCGTGCCCGAGATTGTCGAGTTCGTCCAGCGCATCATGGACAATGGCTATGCCTACGAGGCTGAGGGCTCCGTCTACTTTGACGTCAGCGCCTTTGACGGAAAGAACGGCCACTTCTATGCCAAGCTCGAGCCAAAGTCCAAGGGAAACGCTGAGCTTCTTGCTGACGGCGAGGGATCTTTGGGTGCCAAGCTCTCTGGAAAGCGCAACCAGTCCGACTTTGCCGTCTGGAAGGCATCAAAGCCCGGAGAGCCTGCCTGGCCTAGCCCCTGGGGTCCTGGCCGTCCTGGCTGGCATATCGAGTGCAGCGTGATGGCGAGCGAGATCCTTGGACAGCATATTGATATGCACACTGGCGGCATCGACCTTGCATTCCCCCACCACGACAACGAGCTTGCCCAGTCCGAGGCGTGCTTCAACAACCACCAGTGGGTCAACTACTTCATGCACGCCGGCCACTTGCACATCGAGGGCTTGAAGATGTCCAAGTCGTTGAAGAACTTTATTACAATCAAGGAGGCTTTGCAAAAGTTCTCTGCGCGCCAAATCCGCATCCTCTTTGTCCTCTCTCGCTGGGATGCCCCTTCGTATTTCAAGGAGAACTCGATGCACGAGGCTGTTGCGATTGAGAAGACTTTTGACAACTTCTTTGCCAACACCGCTGCGCTGCTTCGCGACCACCGTGTGCGTGAGCAAGAGTCTGACGGCAAGCGCCATTTCCTCCAGCCAGAGCTCGAATTGCTTGACGCACTGAAGGAGACTAAGAGCCAGGTCCACAGCGCCCTGCTCGACTCCTTCGATACGCCCACGGCCATGCGTGCGCTCCAGGATATCATTGCACGCACCAACGTTTACCTGCAGCGTGGACGTGCAAGCATTGACCCGCAGATCGTTGAGATGGTTGCTCTGTACGTGACCAAGATTGTGCGTGTGTTTGGCTTGGCTACCGAGGGCTCCGGCTCTGCTATTGGATGGGGTTCCAGCTCTGCCGAGTCCGGCTCGCAGGGCCCTGCTGACCGCGAGTCGCTCCTTCTCCCTGTGGCGACTGTGCTTAGCGACTTCCGTGACGCCGTGCGTGAAATTGCTTTGAACGGCGGCGACCCCAAGGCACTGCTGGCTCTGTGTGACAAGGTGCGTGACGACGATCTCCCCGACCTTGGAATCGTCATTGATGATCACGGAGATGGCCGTGCATTGGTCAAGTTCGCTGATCCTGAGGAGCTGCGTCGTGAGCGTGCCGCTCGTCTGGCTGAAGAAGAGGCCAAGCGCGCGAAGAAGGAGGCTGCTGCTAGGGCTGCCGAGGCTAAGCGCCAGGAAAAGCTTGCAAAGGGCAAGCTATCGCCAATGGACATGTTCCGCACTGAGGAGATGAGGAAGCTGTACTCGGCATGGGATGAAAGCGGAGTCCCAACAAAGGACGCGGCTGGCGAAGATCTCCCCAAGAGCAAGCTGAAGAAGCTCAGCAAGGAGCGTGCTGCTCAACAAAAGCTCCATGACGAGTACCTCAGGTCCCTGGACAGCTAGTTGATCCTAAAACTGAGCACTTTTATTCATTACTTGATTATTAACGGTCCAAACAGTGGCCTATACAGACTTCGGGTGGCTCCAACAGCCAAGGCAGATTAGGTGGGGGGGTTATATGCTGCGAGCGTCATCTTCATATCCTGGCATGTCTATAAGCAGGAACTGTGCGCGGTCATAGCCGATGCTCTTGATGCTAAACTCGACACCCGGGCTGACGTGCTGCAAGTGTATTCCATCGCCGCTCCCAACCTCAATGGCGCCTGGAAGCAGCAGCCTTGCACCACCCTTGCATGCAGCCCCCTTCTTGTTGAAGTTGCTCAGCACGTGGATGTAGATGCTCCGCTGTTTGCCGGGCCTCAGGCTGTGGCGCTTGCTGTGGCAGGCAGTGCTCTTCTGCCGGTGTACTTGGTTTGGTGTAAGCGACTGGCTCAAGGTCAGCTGGCTGCCCGATTTGCGCGGCATTGGCTGGGCAGCATGTGCAGCGCGGCCGTCGGTAGCGATGGTGGCCACTTTCCTCAGTTTGGGCGCCTCAAAAATCGGCGGTTCCTTGGCTGTAGCAGCGGACGACGCTGCCTTATAACACACAGAGGCGCATGGGGCGAGGCGGGACACATAGACATACACGTCGCTATCAAGCTCAAATACCGGACTACCAGGGTGTGCAGTGATATCTGGCTTCACAGCCAGCGAATCACTGGTGTTAAAGTAAGCGCTGTAGTCAGATTTGGGCGCCGCAATCGGGCACAGCCGGTTATATCTCTCGGCAGGAGGAATGTACATTGTCTGTATCCAGGGACCGGCCAGAGGGATGCTGCCCTTGATCCACAGCTCGGTGCCAATACACGCAGACTGCTTGTCCTTAATACAGCAATCGCGCTTCACGCCAGTGCCCGAATAAATGCACTGGACATCGTGCTTCCTCATTGGCCGGACGATGGCCTTGTCACCACAATATGTTGTGCCTTCTAGTTCGTTGGATGTGACAAAGGAGATGGTATATATGCCGCTGACCTTGTCTCTTGGCATCGTGCCTCTTTCGGCAAACCACGCATCGTATACGGCCTTGAGACGGCCGATGCCCTCGTCGTGAAGTGGGAGGAGCCAGTTGGAGGGGAAGGTCTTGAGGACGTGGACGGATCCCATGTTGATCATTAGCCGGTCCTCGCTGTTGTAGGCCTCGTAGTCTGTAAACGGCTGCTGTGGCTCGAATAGCGAGCACTTGTTTGCTGC